CAGCGTTAAACGAAAATTTATATCCCACCAAGACACTTAAAGCTCCTTTGATCACTCGTGTCACGAGAATTATATTAGTGTTGTAGCAACACGCTAACTTTGTCCTCGTTATTCCGGAGAATAAAACAAAATTCAATTGATGTCACGAACTTACCTACAAATTATACATAGTTATATATATAATTTGCAGATAATTATATATGTATAACATTTTCATGACATAGCGGTTAAATTGCAATTGTTGTTCGTCCATTTCAAGAGTTATTTATTACGGTCTCGTCGATTTATAACCAAATTCAAACTTTACATTCCGTTTCATTTCACACAGCCACGACACCATTTTTTTCTCCTCCCCCCGTTAGAAATTGCCTCCTTCAGCCTCCCCTTCCTAGTATCGTATAAATTCGTTTCGTTCCACTCCTTTAGAGAAAAGTCCCGTCCTGTGGTCCTGCCGCGGGATGGCCTCAGACTACGTTGTGCGATAGGGAACCGTCGTCCCGCCACGTGTTGGCTGGAAGGAAAAAGTCATCTTTTCAAATTCTCATCGAGACGATCCCTTCGCGGTGAAACATGAAGTTTAGGGGCTCCTGGAGCCTGGCTAACATCGTGTGTTACCTCTATAATGCATGTCCTGCGCCATCGATGGACACTTGGCGTTTCCCCGCTGCCAGCATAACAGAGAGAAAGTGCATTTAACTTGCAGCTTCGCGAGAAATATTGACGAAATTGATTTTTTTATAATTAATCGAAATATCTTCTATCAATCAATCAATCTTCGAGAAACGTTATAGATTGTAAAAAGAATCAAATTAAATGTTTAAAATGATGTTTGTTTATTTTATTAATAACACACAATAATAACACAAAAATAGCTTCTTTAAAGTTTACAAAAAAATTCATTATATCACTTATATAATTGCATTAAAATGTAAAATTTATTTATTGTTTATATTTTAAAATGCCCACCCTGATAAAATAAACATAATCTAAGGTATAGTCTATATAAACATAAAACATAGTATAGTCCAAAAGTATAAATTCATGTTTAAAAAAAAAACAACTGCTACGTAAATTAATTACTATTTTATAGATATATTATATTTTAGAGATATATTAATATCTAAATTATATAAATATGTCAATTATTGAAGATATCAAACAAAAAATGTAACACGCACAATTGTCGCAAGATTCTTTTGATATGGTATATTCAAAGGGTGAAAAAGGATCTTCGAATAAAGATTCTGAAGTCAAAAAATAAAACATTTTTCATAAATAAATATAGCATTTAAATAAATATAACAATATAATAAATAAAATTTAAGATCAAATTTTTCTTTTTGGTTAAGAAAAGCTAGTTGTGGAAAAATTTGATTCGAAAAAACAAAATTTTGTTTGGTCTTAAGAATCAAAGTTCAAAAATTTATTTTAAATAAATAAATTAATATGTCGAAAAAATTTATATACATTATATTTTCGACATATTATAATTTATTTATTTAAAATAAATTAATTTTAAACAAAATTTTAAAGTTTTAAAGAAATGCTGCCGCTCTATTTGAAAAACATGATTTCGAGAAAAATACAAAAGAAAAAAGGAAAAAAACGAAATGATTTTTTTATATATAATAAAATAGAATTTTTGTCTTATTTCTATTCTGCTATCTTTCAACTTCAAACTTTGAGAAAATAAAAAAAGTCACAAAAACGAGTTTTTGAAATTTTGAAAAGGTACGCAAATTCCTTAATAAAATAATCTCTTTTGAAGAAAAATTATAAGCTTCTTTCTTTTCTTTAGAATTCTTTAGCATGCTAAGATTGCGATGTTATCATACTACTATCAATTACCCGGATTCTTCGCATAAGATATCGAATGACATAATCGCAACGTTGTATTACCTTGGCAAAATCGATGTTTGTTCGCACGGTTCTAAAATGAAGACCCTGCAGCGGTCTGGAATTGTTACCGAGAGGCGCTTTCGGCGTAGTAGATGGGCCTTGCATTAATTTCCTCAGGGCGTAGAGCTAATAACAGAAACAATGTGTTCCGTACAACAACGGGGATCCGAGTTGATTGATCCGACAGTATCGACAAAATTATCTATAGAGCCTTCCTACGGTTTCAGCTACTACTACTTTCAACGATTCGACTATGATTACCAGGCACACCAATCAGGCCGGAATTTACGGGAAAGAAAAAAAAATACAAAAAGAAAAATATGGAAAAGTTAGATGACAAATTGTTGACAGGAGGGATCGATGTTTACCTCTCGCGCCGTGATGTAAATTGGTTTGTTGAGGATCAGCCAGACCGCCGTTTCCCAACAACCGGGGTGCGTTGTACTGCCCTCGTAAGTCATGTAACCGTTTGTGTCCGGTAGAAGACTCTTCAGGGACAGGTAGCGCACGGGTGCGGTGTCCCCTGAAATATAAATTATCGATAAGAATTGATTACATTAGATTGGATCTAATTATCTCGCTCCAGATTGGATCTAATTATCTCGCTCCTCGCGCCGAGATTTCATCTCAATTATTTGGCAATATAGCCGTGAATATGATTACCAATATCAATTTATCAGCGAGTCTCATTCGCTAGAATTTCCAAGGATTCCGAACGATACGAGTTGGATATCTTAAATTAAGCGAGATTAGTTAGTGATACTTTTAATAGTGATGGGTTCTATAGGAGAATTAGACGGCCTTAAAAGTTTAATTAGACATTAAGATCCGTAGATAGGAGGCATAAAATGCCGTAAAATAGAACGCATGGATTTCGAGATTGGTAGACGAAAATTGAAAAATAATAGACCAAAGAGCAGCATTTAAAGCAGCACGGTAGACAAAATATTAAACATGCCGATAATTATAGAAAAAAGTAATATATGATTCATATGTGCGCGAATTACAAATGTATCGACCGCAGGCTCGGATAATTGGAATATTCTGAGATATTTGACATGTATCAGTTTGACGTGATGTAAAAGGCAGAATTCGTCCGTGGCGGTCGCCACAAAGCGGTGAATTATTCCGCGGATTACTCTTTTCATACGCGCTTTTTCTACCCTTTGATACTCGACTCCTGTGTACCGAGAGGATAGCGGGAGTTCTGAGCGAACGAGAATCGTTTCCCGCAGCCGCACGCGGGGCGCAGCGTTCCTATAAATTCAACGATTATCCGAGCGCGCAGCGAGCCAGCGTACTTTTACCGATAACAGGCGTATGTGGATTACGGAGGATCGTAAAGCGTAAAAGTCTCAAATCTCTCGCTCTAAGGCACTCCGACGGCAAATTGGTGTCGCGATACTCAACGAAGAGCCATTTTCACCGGAGCGCCAGCGAATACGAATAAACGAGGCGAGCGAAATTATTCGCAATTCGTTTCGCAAACTCGTCTGTGAATTTCGACACTCTCAGAGCAAACGAGGGCAAACTGGGGAAACAATGATGAGTTCGAAAAAAAATGGCAGAGTGAAAAACCGAAGATGATTGACGTTATGCAAAGATAGGGGAAAAAGAGATAAAGATGACTTCAAGGTTTAGTCATTTAATTCTGTTTGATTTTCTGATGACGTAAAATGATGTAAAAGTAATGATTAATTTTTTTTATTAACTAAAATCTCACTTATCGTATACAGAAATTGAAAAGTGTATAAATAAATTAGAATTTTTTGTATAATTTAAATTTTTCAGAACCTGTCAATTTCGCAGGTAAAATGACTTTTAATAAGATGATACAAATTAATTTTTTAATTAATTTTTTAATTAATTTTTTATATTATTTTGTGATTATAATGTTCAAATAACATAATAAAATACCAATAATTAGACTTATACACAATAAATATCATTTATAATAATATAATCATTAATAATAATATAACATTAAGAAAATAAAATTTAAATAAGAACAAAAATAATAATCATTTATAATTACATAATTGGAAATAAAATGAAATTAGAGGCCAACGAAAAATAATTATTTACGATTATGTAATTTTTACATGACATTCGTTATCTTATCCTATGATCACTATATTTATTCATCCATTTAGCAAAATGTTACAATATGAAAAATGGAAAATAATAATACATATAATAATACAATAATAATACAAATAATATACATTTATTATATGCATTTTTAAATATACTCTGTGATAATTAATAATTCTATAGAAAAAGTGAAAATATGAAGTGAAAAAAATTTGTATTATTTGTATTATATATATATATTTATGATGAATTCGAGGATTTTCTTCCTTTACTCAAGACACTTTAAAATTATAATATTTGTCATCGAAATAGCACTTAAATGATTAATCGTAGCATAAAGTGCTGCCTATATATTTACATTACATATTTAAATGCACGAAAAAAGTGTCTGAGTGTCTTCTAATTATGATTTAAATCAAATTTGGATAAGAAGTCAACTTTTCTTTCAGAGAAGCGAAGAAATTTGTATTACTCCTGATGAATTCGAGAATTTTCTCCCTTTACTCAAGACACCTTAAAATTATGATATTTGTCATCGAAATGATAATAACACTTAAGTGATTAATGCTCTCGCAGTAATAACGTTCGCGTTGATCCTACACCATTGAGGGAATTATAATCTCGAACGACGAGGGTCATAAGTGTATCGTATAATCTGGTAAACAGTAGAATTACAAGAACAAACAATAATGGAACTCGCTTGTAAGCCGTCACTACGCAAATATCTGCGTCTCATGCAGAATAGTGTGTATACGTAATGCATTATGCACTTGCATAACTTTCCATCGACAACAACGACGAGAACGTACGCGCGCGCGCGCGCGTTTATCATGGAAACAGTTTTCGTAATTAACATTCGTAATTCAATTATTATATTCAAACAACAAATCGTGATTATTCTTATTATTATTAACAGTAAGTTTGACTAAATATTTGCGAGCAAACAGCGATTTCCAAGTAAGATGAAAATATACATCTAACGTTAGCGTCTGAGAAATGAAGAAGTACAGTCAAGGAGACCCGGAGTAAGTAATAAAAAGTAATAATATTTATAGTAATATTATTTTACTTTTTATATTATACTTAAGAGTATATAATTTTAGGATGCCGAAAAACTATAAAGATAACGCGTGCGCGAGAAAGATCGGAACAACGAAAATAAACGAGAGAGCGAGAGAATATTCGTACAATTACCGTAAAATTTAATTTGGACGGTGATTACGTGCCGATTCGGACGGATAGAACGAAATGAATCTTCTGGAGACATCCAGACCATCAACTGCCCGTGTCGACGAAATTTACCCTTGAGAAGAGCGAGCGAGGGTTTCGAGTGTATATATATATATATAACGGCGGGATGCGCGCCGTTCGTAACCGTCAAACGTCCAGAAGTGATTTGTATCTTTCCTACGTAACGTGCGCGGGGCGAAATCCAGCGTAAAAGGTCATCATTTCAGAATGTGCGGTGAAAATAAATCTTTCGCTCGGTGCGGAACAGTGCGCGCGCTCGCACCGGGGATCGTATTTATCGGACCCTGGGAGGTATGGTTTCATCCCGCGCGCGAACCTTCGATTCGAGCGTGTCTCCTCTGCCATCCCTCCCGCCTGCCCTCCCCCCCCGCCTTTCCGGGTTCCGCGGGTCCCTTAGATCGCCAGCGAAAATTAATCTCGCGTACGGCGAATCTTTTCGATTATGGGCTCTTTAATGTTCCCCCGAAACGGGGAACGAGGGAAACGACTCGCCGTCGTTTTGGTACGTGCACACACGTGGTATCATCCGACGTGTATGTATTTCGGGTGTACATAAGATTACCAGAATCTCGTTCGTGGACGAGATGAAAATCCGGCTTGAACCGTCTGTACACACGCCCGTGCCAGTTTATCTACAAATAAAGGGATACATATAATCCACGATAGCACAGTCCTACGTAGGTAACATCTAAACACGGACTTCGCTGCAACATCCTCTGTATATATTGCGTCTATTTCTCGCATCAGGTTTGTGACGTCGTCGTCGTCGTCGTCGTCGTCGTCGTCGTCGTCGTCGTCGTCATCGTCGTCGCGAATCTCTGCTCACAAACGGACACAATCTACTCGGGCTGCATGGAATACAGCTAAATTTACACAAACCGCATGGATGCACGTATTATACGTGCTATATCAAATGTTGCGGTTAATCGCATTTTTTGCCTCATTAATTTACAAGGAGTACGTCCTTCCATCGCGCGAAAATTGTTCAGTACACTGCACTGTGTTATAAATATATGATATATTCATGTACATTATCGCTCAAAAAAACTTCAGCGCATTCTTTGATATGCTTAATATTCGACAAACTTATTATCATTTATCTATAATTATTTTTCGAAAATTTGTAAATTTATTGGTAAATTTATTACTTTCATGACAGAAATAAAAAAATATTCACAATTCTGTGTCTTTAATATGTGAAAAGTGGAATTATTGACGTAAATAGTGTGTGTGTGTGTGTGTGTGTGTGTGTGTGTGTGTGTGTGTGTGTGTGTGTAATTTTATAATATTATATATATATACTCGTGTACATATATATAAATACAAGATGAATTTATATTTTAATCAAGACATAAAGAATCAGCTGCATGTAAATGAGGGATTGAAGTATCAACTACGAGCACAATGGTTGACGAATTTGAGAGTAGATGTATGAGGCAAGTCGTTTCGCAGCACAACGGAAACACTTTAAGTGCATCTAACCATCGTAACGAGTCCGTTTGAAGTAGTAACGTAACGCAACGACGATTTCACCTCCATGCGGCGAAAATCCCGTCGACAGTAACCGCGACGGGGAGCGAGCGCTTCATCAAAATGTCGCTCTGTATACGACCGTCTATTTCTCGTATTGAGTCCGTGACATTAAAGATGGGCGAACGCGTTCTCGCAAATGGCAGATCCGGCACAAGGGAGCTGCCGTTTTGCCTCGCACAGAGAATGATCCTCCACCCCCGTACGCCGGCTTCCGATACGACCCTCCGCCAATCCCTCCTGCCCTCCTCGCCGTTTCCTCTTTCACGCAGAGATATTCTTGGGGCGCCGACATTCAGGAACTCCGAGTGCAAAAAGTAGAAGCCGTCGAGTTCTTCTTGAGGCGGACGCCTCGGTGTCGACCACCCTGCGTCACCCCCATTCGCCGTTTGGAGCTATCTTACCGTGTCGACATGTATCGCGTTTTACGCCTGTGCGTGTGTGTTTTATTTTTATTCATCGTGGCGTCCTGATTCCACCTCCTCCGCGACGCGACGGTACGGGGTTGCCGTACGAGCACCGGATGGGGGATAAATAGAGCTTGAGGGGACGAGAAGAAAGAAATCTGGCGAGATGACAAGTAATAATAATGGGGAATGGGCCGAGGAATGGGAAAATATCAACTGCTTCGTATCGTCTGCGGCAACGAGACGGGTGGAGAGAGACCGGGATGAACGGGCGATGGTGGAAAGGTCCTCCTAGTGATTAATGAAATGCATTAACTCCTTCCTCCGGAAAGAGAGAAGAGCGAGCCTGAGAAAAGACCGCTGGCTGCGAGATCGCTTCGCTATTTTGAGTGTACCAGGAGCCATTGCTATTGATACATTCGTGCGTCCAAGAGCGAGATTAAACGAGGCAAAATGTAGTTGTATTATGCATCGTGAGAACCACGATAAAAAGTGCAGGAGTCTATCGGGTCTGGGAATTCACGACGCTTTTTTTATTTCGAAATTCAAGTAATTTTTTTCCAGGAAAGCACGATAAAAGATTCACCGTTTATCGTCATTTTTCAAATATCGATTTTTTTTTTTTATTTTAGTAAGTATCTTTGATAAATCAAATTTACACCGTAAGAAAAGTTGCTTGAAATCGAGCTTTGGAGAACTCCGTTTTACCAAAATAACTTTCATACGAACAATAAAGAATAGTCAAACGTATGCGCAATTTAATAACAATTTTCCTGCAAATAGTTTAGCCGGTTGGCACAACTTACGTATATTTACGTATATTTGTTTCCCGTTTCGGAAGAAACTTCTTGCCAATTTTATCGCGATATAATGGTACACCCACCGTAATACAAAATCTTGTTTCATGAAAAAAACAGGGATATATAAAAAAAAATGATACAGCACGTTCTCATTTAATAATTCATGGTCGACGCAAATCCGTGCCGGCGCACCATTATCTACCATCGAACGGGCCCGGGGTGGCCGGTCGCAGATATTCCCGTGGATGGTCACACGCACGACACGCGGGGTCGTTCGTTACGTGGAAGTCGAATATTGTCGGGAATAACGTGAGGTGCTCTTAGGAAAATTGACTGTGCCTAATGGCACACACCGGCGGAATAATGATGATGACAGTGGCGATAATCGCAATATAAGAACATCTTCGACGTAATGAACGTCGACTCGCACGTACGAGTGCACATGTGTGTGTGTATGTGTGTGTGTGTATTGTTTGACATACAAGACACTCGACGATTTCGCGTCGACTTTGTACATTAAGGTCGCCGCTCGATTTCTCGAAACGAGATTCCTGTTTGCCAAGTGAATAATTCTCGGCTCGGAGCCGGCCAAGCTCTCGAATA